CTTCATTGCTAATCAATTCCTTCAATCTTCCCAGCAACTCCATGGAGAAGGCTCCTTACTTTCATGGGCAGGAAACAAAGGCACAGAGAAGTTAAGTAACCTGCTGAAAGTCACACAGCTAACAGGTGCTAATCCTGGTTTTTGCACCAGACAGAATCAAGCTCTGCACTTTTAATCACAGTGGTATTGACGTTCTCACTGCAGAAAGGTAGATGCATTGATAAACCCTGGTGAGTGCCTTTTCCCCAGAGTGCAGGAGGAAGGACGGAGGCTCCTGCTCAGACATGAGGACAACTCACAGAAAGGCGGGTGGCAGCGATCATGGATTAAGCACCTACTATGTGTTTCCTTAACTTATCCAATCCTCTCACTACTCTGTGAACATCACTACATGGAAACATCTTTCTCTCTGCACAGGTACCAAGACTAGAGGTCAGAGAGATAAGTGAACACACAAGGGCACACAGCCAGAGGGACCAGAGCGCACCCACCTCGGCTGCCAAGCTGCCGCTTGGAATCCTGAACCACAGGGGTCACCACGGCCCAACAGCCCATCTTCCAGATGGGGACACTAAAGCTGAGATAAATCTCATGTTGAAGAACAATTAATAAATTACTAGTTCACTGTACTGCAAAGCACCCTCCACCAAGATAATATACATAAACCATCAAGCAGGATCTGGTACATGGCGTGTCTTGCATGAGGCCATTCTGGGAACAGAGCTGTACGGAGAAAAATGAGTGCAGCACATGCTAACTAAGGAGAGCCGGGTTCATGCCCCACCTCTGACGCTTACCAGCTGAGTCTCAGCTCCTCATCTGTACAATGGGTATATTATCTACAGAAAGTAGTATTGCTAACATTCAAATGCGCTGCCAGTTCCTGAAGCTGCCTTACGTGCCACGCACGAAGAGAAGTGTTGTTAAGTCCCGAGTAGATTTTTTTTCCCTAAAGCCACAGAGAAAACCAGAGGAGACCCCTGCCATTCCTCGGGCTCATGCCTGCGTCTTGCTGGTCTTTGAGGGCTTTTCTGTGATCAGATGCTCTCAACATTGGGGGGGAGGGGAAGGGGAATATTGTTAGAGACCCTTTTACAGATTAGGAAACTGAGGCACTGAGAGGCTAGGTGACTTTCCCCATTTGTGGAGCTAGTTAGCAGCTCCTGTGGAGCTGGGAGTCGACCTGAGTTGGCAGTTCACACTGGGGCTCAGCCAACTGTCCACCCACAGGGTCCAGCAGACAGTCAGCACCCAGTAAAGGCTGCCTGTGGGCCACCGTGTCATTCTTCCAAAGAGAACTGCCAACAGATGTCCAAAGCCAGTGAAAGGGTACCAGGATCCTGTGACCAGGCATGTGGGAAAAAGTGTTCTGAGCTCCAGCCCCCTGTGCCCTCTGGTCTGAGGAGCGGGGTGGGGGCCACCTTCAAGTGCAGGAAGGGGGTCGGGGCAGGCAAAGCCTAACCCGCCCAGCACCTTGTCCATGTCCCATGTGACCCACCTTGACCCGCACCTCCAATCAGGGCCCTGCCTCCTGCACCCTCCCAGTGACCAACACAGGGAGTGCCGCTGCTGTCCCCAAAGGGGGGTCCCCCCACCTTCCTCGTGCTGATGCAGGGCAGTGGCCTGCCGGGAGGCTTCTGGGAACTGCCAAAGCACAGGGCAGTGCGTCTGAATGGGGGAGGGCATGAGTACGCCAAACCCTCTGAACACGCAAAGGGTCAAAGCAGAGCAGCCTGATATCAGGACGCTGGACAGGTCACTGGTGCTCCTTCACATCAGATAAAACGAGGGCCTGAGCTGCCTTAATTTCTGGCATTTGGCAGAAACGTGCACTGCAAAGTGCTCAGACAGACAGCCCAGGACGTGCAGACACCTAGAACAGACCCGGCTGCAGGCAGACAACGGGAGCCCTTCGCAGAGAAAAGTGCCGTCAGAGACTTTTAACAGTCTAAAAATTAAACTGTCATGGGCCAACGTTGTCTCGTTTCCTCCCCTCTTCCCCCAAAATGACTTTATTTCTGTCTTCCTTAGAAGCATCCTCTTCCGGAAGAGGAAACTGTTATCAAAGCAACACAATTATCGATAATATTCTACAGAAATAAACCTTCTGGAGGCACCACGGCCCAGGCCAAAAGAGGCCCGGGTGGAAGCCTCGGGTAGACTTTTTTTAAGCCAAGGAAAGCAACTGGGGACGCCCACCTTCCTCACTTTCATACGTGAGTCCTGCCTGTTCCTCTAGGGCTCCCCTGCGATGCTGAAGCGACCAACTCTCGTCCACGTCCATGTCCCCCACTAGACCAGAGTCGACCTCATTCGGCTTTGCACCTCAGTGATTAACCACCCTGAAGCTGTCCACAGGCTGCTTCTATCCCTGCCTCCCTCGGCCCCTTTGCAGGGCTGACACGACCCTTCCTCCCCCATGTCCACGCCTTTACACACCTGCTCTCCTGTGTGTGACCTAATACTTGCCACCGCTCCACGTCATCCATGTCACTCGCACCCCCAAGGAGACATCCCAGCCAAACGGCTTCGGGAGCATCTGTGCTCCAGCAGCCAGCGTTTAGGTCCCGGCCCAGCTGCCAACAGGTGTATAACCTCAGACAAGCTGCCAAATCTCACCACAGCCTCACTGTCCCTCACCTCAGGGACTCTGGGAAGGACTGTCCTAGGTGCTCTTTGAAGTGATGAGCACCGTTCCTGCAGTCCAGAGATGTCGGCTGTTGTGACGATGATGACGATGAGGAGGAGGAGGATGGTTGTGATGAGGGTGATGAGGATGACAGTGAAACTCCCGAGAAGTTCCCCTGAGCCCCTCCGCTGGCCCTCTCCAGGTCCTACCTTCCTTTAAAGGAGCAGCAGGGTCCTGGGGGTGTACCCCAAGTGTGATGTAACTTCCCACCACCTGTAGCTCTCCCCTGGCTTCCCTGCCCAGAGCTGACTCCGGGAGTGTTCCCTGAATGTACAAAGACATGGCAACCACAGGCAACACAGACTGCGCTAAAAACGCAACATGCAAAATACCAAGGGACTGCTCTCCTTCCCTGAAAAGGAGGTTTTCAAAGATGCCCCAATAAGCCCCACATGCCCGGGAAGGAACCAGGACCTCTTCTGAATAAGGGAGCAGCTGGTAGCTTGGGTACATCCAAGACATGCGGAGTAAGACGCAGGGCCCGTAAAACAAATTCTCCTCCTCTCTGTCTGGTCCACAGGAAGCCAGAGTCTTCACGGGAAGTGAGCTCTAGGAAGTCGAGGGCCAACCTCAACCAATTTCCTTGTGGACAGACACGGTCATCTTGGCCAGTGGTGCCAAAGACAGGACACGCGAGTGAGGGGCTTCCTGGTGAGGCAGAGCCATTCACTCTGCCCTTAACGCAACCCCTTAACCATTACCTGCTCATATCTTTTGTGACATCTGACCACGCAGCTGCTCTAAAACACACATGCCAGAAACACTAATTTCTCAGTAATGACACATCAAGGTTAACAGCGGCCGCCTCTAACAATATCTTCACTAGAAAGTTTGTCTTTAGATTAAAATATTCCAACTGAAAGTACAAGAGACCCCAGGACTGTTTTATTATTCATTACATATTCAAATAATGAAATCTGAGCTTTCTAGGGAAACCAAGCTATTTCTTAAAAACAGTAAAAATATATGTATTATTACGTGTTTTCTATAAATACCTGAGGTTTTTAAAAATCCAAAGCAGACTGATGATGCCTCACAGTAAACTCTTAATAAAACCCAGGAAAATGAATCTGACTTGCACAATGATAAGGTATTTTCCATCTGAGGGTTACAGGTATTACAAATGTATCTACTGCTTTCCTTGCGTTATTACAGAATCTTCGCTATATCCTGTGACTAAATGAATGAAATTCATCAACTACTATTAAGGAAACAAAAGGTTGAACTTTTCTCATTAGGAGATTAGCGGGTGTGAATCAGGATTTGTGGCTGAATACCATTCTACTCTCTGAGAACCCCAGCACTGAATAACTCCTTTACCGCCTCCTCCCCACCCTTGCCAACATGCAAATGTGTGCCCCCCCATGCAGCTGCACCCAGAATCTTTGGAGCATTTGCATCTGGACTTCAGAGCAACGCGTTGTTCACACACACCTAGCACACAGCCAGAAAGTTCTCACATGCACAGTCATCTCCAAATTGTGTCTCACAGCACGTGCAGTGTGGAATCTTTGAAGAATGGGGTGCAGGAAGCGATAAAGAGAAGCTTCCCCCATTAAAGCCATGGGGTAAACTAGTCAGATACACACTGGTGCCTTTATTTCTAGGATTTTTAGAAGATTTGAGTTGGAGCCAAAATGGATAAAGTCTTGTTTTTATACTCATGTGCTAGGTAGTGTTCTCCTTACAACCACCCTAATTTTTCAATTTCCTTGAGATTTAGAAAAATCCACATTTATTTTCCAGCAGAAAAAGCAATTAAAATAATACTTGAATGCTCACGTCGTGTTCTGGGCCTTTTGGGGGAGTTTGCAGACACCGAGATCTTTCTAGTCATCGCTAATTAACAAGAGTTCCTCCATAAAATCAGAGGGGTTCCTTTCAAAACACAAAAATATTTCTGGTGTGCTCTGTGAAAGCTTTGGAGCACACATTTCAACTTGCGGAGGCAGGAAATACAAAGGCTGGTCCACAGGCATAACCTTCCTCTCCAAGGTTGCCATCCAAGAGTTACATTATTGCTGAGTAAGGAGGAGGAGCTGAAACATTTCCCCTGCTGCAGAAAGGCCTGGTGGCCTTAGCATCAGGGAGGAGTCCCGAACACGGCTCCCTCCCCGCGGGGCAGCCTCTTGGCTGAGAGCTGGCCTGGAGCTGGCTGCTGGGGTATGACTCCCCACTCTGCCAGCTCCCTAGCTGTGTGCTTTGGGCCAGTTCCCTATCTCTCTGGAATGTGGTTTGGCCTGCTGTCTTCGGAAGGGTCGGTTCACACTCGGGAGGGTGGTCAAATCAGCCATGAAATCACGGTACTTACAAACATGAGGCGGGTCGGTATGTTGTCCGACTGCACCAGAGGATTTTTATACAACCAGATCTCCTCCGGCTGGATGACTCTCTGGAATGGATCCAAAAACTCTGTAAAACTGAAACAAAACAAAGACGTGTGAGGGCTGAGCACTGGGTGGTGGCCCTTGGTCCCGGGGAAGGCCACCCCTGCACACCCCTGGGGGAGGGTGGTCCTCTAGGGAACAGGAGCGGGAGGCAGCTGCCCTGCTGGTGGGTCTCAGCCAGGTCCGACTGGGAAAAGAGCGGAAGGACTGCTGGGACTTGGCAGAATCTCCCGTCTCCGCCAGCCCGCGAGGACCCCTTCTGGGCACGTGAGAATCGCCGGGAGGGCAACACACCAAGACCCTAAGAACTGGGGGCTCTGTCATGAACTGAGGGCTCAGGCAGGGGGGAACTAAGGCAAGGCCCCAGCCAGTCTCAGGAACAAAATGGACTTGTCCGTGGGGGCAGAGGCCAGGCAGCAGAGGGCACAAAGTTCCCTCCGCGTTACCCTGATGGCAACCGGGCACCCTCTAGACCACCAGCAGGGGGCAGTGAGAAAAAAAGCTTCCAGAAGAGACAGGTTAGGACAGAAGAGAGCCTCAGAGGAGGAGGAGGAGGAGGAAAGGGGATGAGGAGCATTCTGGGGCTGTGTTGAGAAACCCAACAGCTATGCCCTGACTGGTGTGGCTCTGCTGGTCAGGTGTCATTCCACAGAGTGAAAGGCCACCGTTTCAATTCCAGATCAGGACTTGTGCCTGGGTTGTAGGTTTGGTTCCGGGTTGGGGCGTGTGCAAGAGGCAACTGCTCAATGTTTCTCACATTGATGTTTTTTCTCCCTCTCTTTCTCCCTCCCTGCCCCTCCTCTAAAAATAAATAAATTAAATATTTTTCAAAATAACAAACAGCTTTAAGCATCCACCTTGTCATCTCTTCACCCTCCCAACCCCTTTCACGGCCCCAGAACCCACAACACCCAGGCACACGAAAAGTGGTCACCGCCAAGAGAAAAACTGGGGGAGGGGACAGATGGCTGCAGCTGCCTCTGTCAGCTCCCAGCCAGCAGGCCACCGCCCAGCTCTCCCTTCAACCCTCCGCCAGGTCAGCTCGGCTCGGAACAGGGGTCCCAGGAGGAGCAGGTGCAAGCTGCACAGCTTTCTGACCATGCACCCCAGTCCTGTGGTGTCATTAGGTTCCACGTGAGTCCCCACGAGGTCGGCCCAGATTCAAGAGGGCGGACTGGCTCCACCCTGGGCAGGGATGGAGCAAAGTGCCACCGAGAAGAGCAGGTAAGATGAGGGAGAGGGATGTGGCCACCTTTCAGACATAATCTGCCTCCCACGGGCTGACATCCCTGTCTCGGTCCCACAGCCCCCACTTCAGAGACCCCCAGAGCCTTGATTCCCATTTCCTGCCCACAGAGCTGGCCACAGGGCCCAGGCACAGGCCCACCGCGGAGCCCCCACAGTGGGGGGCTCTGTCGGCCCCCACCTTGTTTGCCCCCCAGGTGCTACTGTCCTCACAGGGGTTTTTTAAATCCTCACGCCCCCAGCTTCTCCCACAAACCCCCACCCCACCCTACATAGCTGCAGCCAGAACACATCTCTCAAGCAAATTATATCCCTTGAGGGCTGCAGTACTGAGAAAGACAGGTGTCCCTTCTCCAGCCACACCACAGCCACCAACCTTGGACGCAGAGAATCCACAGAGCCAGGCAGCTCCCCAGAGGACATGGGCCTCAAAGAGCACATGGGGTGGAAGTGGGCGTGCGGTGTTACGGAAAGCTCTGGAGACACCAAAGGGTGTTCCCAAGAGGGGGCCTGGCCGCCTCCTTCCACAGTGCCTTCGTACGTGGTCTGGAAACCAAGGATTGGAACCCCGCCTGTTCGCCAGGGCTCACTCTGCACGGAGGACTCTCAGCAGTGTTACGTCAATGCTTCCCACACCTTAATGTGCCCGGGAACCACGAGGGGGTCTTGCACCTACAGACAGAGCTGGTCCAGGGAGGAGCCCCCCTGAGGGGGGCTGCTGCTGCCCCCACGCTGACCTGCAGCTCAAACCCTGAGTCCCAAGGGGCCGAGGCTTCGGCACCACCTGGGAGGGAGGTTCTTAAAAATGCAGAATCTTGGATCAGCCCAGACTTACGGACAGGGAAACCTTTCATGTCTGATGAGCTCCCCAGGGGATGCAAGACGCGGAGCACTCCGGAAGGCCGGCGTCTCCCCATTTCAGCCATTCAAGAACTGAGTTGTGCAGTTTCGCCTCATCTTCTCTCCCCTGTGCTGTGAGGTTTCTTTTGACTTTGTAAACCAGTCATTTTATTCTAGAAGAAACTTCATGTCACGGCTTAATTGCAAAATCAGCATTCCTTCCATAAACAGCTGGTACACATCAAAATAAACACAACGAAAACCAAAGATGCTGCTACACTCTGCCTTGCTGCTGCGACCACCTCGGCCAGGAGGAATCGAGGCTGGAGGGAGGAGTGGGTGGGGCTGAATGTGCCTCAGGTGGGTCACGCCCGGGGAGAACCTAAACTCACCTTGTGAAGCGCCCAAAGTCATCTCCACCAACACTTGTTAGGGAGGGGACAGAAAACAAGACGAAAAACAAAAACGACAACTCGAAAGCACCCCAATCTTGCCCTGGCTGGTGTCTCGGTTGGTTGGAGGTTTAATCCCTGGTCAGGGCACATTCTTAGGGTGTGGGTTCAATCACCAGCTGAATGGGGAGCAACCAATCAAAGTTCCTCCCTCACGTCAATGCTCCTCTCTCCCCCACCCCGCCCCCTTTCCTTTCTCTTTAAAATCAGCACACATATCCTTGGGTGAGGATTAAAATACAAAAAGCACGGCAATCTGGGGCCATTTGCTGTAGAATAAAATTGCCCCTCCTGCCATAATAACTCCCAGTAAGATGGCCGACACCCCTGAGTGTGAGAGAAAAGGCAGAAGGACCACTGGGAGGTGGGAGAAGCCATTTAGTTTACTTCTATTTCCAATGACTACAATGCAGGTAAAAACACCTTAGTGCCCAGAGACGGTGTGGCACATTCACCAACACACGCCTTTGGTTCTCTGGGGATGAGAGCAAACCCTGTCCTCCCGGTGACTGGCTGGCTCTTCCCCATCTCTGCAAAGACTCGAGAGGAAAAGGATAAGTGGCGTGATGACCTCGGTAACTCGGGCTCTTGGGGCCCCGTGACAAGGATGGCCGCCCCAGTCATCCACTCCACATCGAGGTTTGCTGGAGAGCGGCGTCGCTCGACTCCTGATTCTCCATCAGACCTGATGACTGGAACCGAACGGAAAGGGAGGAGCTCGGCGAGGACGAGGCATGGGACTCGAACCAGGGAGCTGTCTTTCACCGCACGCGAGAACTCACTCAAAACCGATCAAGGACCTGAGCGTAATATCTGAAACCATAGAATACTCAGAGGAGAACAGGTGCGAACCTCCTGGACCTCAGTCTTAGCGACACTTAGTGGGTCTGACTCCAATGGCACAGGAAACGAAAACACCATCAAACAGACGGGACCGTAGTGAACAAACAAGCTGCTTTGCAGCAAAGGAGTCCATCCAGAAAACAGAACAGGAGCCCGCTGAACGGAAGAAGATATTTGCAAATGATATTTCTGATAAGGGGCTGGTATCCAAAATACGCTATGAAAAACTCATGCAACTCTACAACAAAAAAATCAATAAAAAATAGGCAGAGGATCTAAATAAACACTTTTTCCAAGGAGTAAATACAGAGGGCCAACGGGCACCTGAAGAGAGGTTACCTATCGCTGATCATCAAGGAAATGCAGATCGAAGCCACCAGGAGAAAATGCCTCACAGCTGTTGGAATGGCTGTTATCGAAAGACAAGAAGTAAGTGTTGGAGAGGATGTGGGGGTCTTCACTGTTGGTAGGATTGCAAATTAGAGCGGCCACTTTGGAAACCAGTATGGACGTTCGTCAACATATATAAAATGGAATACTACTCACCCATAAAAAAGATGAAATAATACCACTTGCAACAACATGAATGGACCTTGAGGGTATTATGCTAAAGTGAAGTATGTCAGTGAAAAAAATGAAAAACATGATTGCACTCATGTGGAATATGAAACAAAAAAAAGAAACAAACAAAAGGAAGCAAAGGAAAAACAAAAGTCACAGATGTAGAGAACGGACCAGGGGTCATCATAGGGGAACGAGAGGGTGGGATGAGTAATGTGGGCGGAGAGACATGTTGACCAAGTATCTCTGTGAGCCACTAGAGCAGCAACCTGTCTCCCGACAGGCCTTCCCCTGAGCCAGGGTGGGTGGTCACACACAGACAAGGGTCACAATTCTAATAACCACACCAGGCATCACGTCTGGAGCCCTCTGGTGCCAAGTCCTTTACTCGGTTCTTCCCACCATCACTCCTTTTAATCTTCGTAAGACCCCTATGAGGCATCCTCTCCCCACTGTGGTCCCTCGCAGTAAGGTCCCCAAGCCAAACAACACTCCTTACCAAGGGGACCAGGTAGGTTCAATCTCTGCTTATCCCCAAGTATCGGGTTTCAGTCTCCCACCAATCACGTCCTCCTGTGGGACCAGGGGGCACCCCACTCTCCTGCTAGTACAAAGCCTGCTTCCCACAGCCCCTGGCTGTTCATCTGCTCCTGCATGGCCCTGCCTGGTATGGTGTCCTCCTCCCCTGGGGTTTGGACACAACTGAACCCTGCCCTCTCCAAGGAGGTGCACAGCAGGTGATGAGAGCATGTACTCCACAACTGTGGCCCCCTAAACACAACAAGGCAGGATGAGGTCAGTGGGGGACAGCAGTGGAAACGTGTGAGCCAAGCCTGGAGATGTCAACCTATCCAGCTCCCAGGAAGGAAGAGAGAAGACTGGGAACAGGCCACATGGATAAGTCAAAGCCACCGACGCAAAGATGCTACCTGTGCACACTGTCTCTCCTTCATTTTTTAGCAGACGGCACTAACCCGCGTGCCCGACCCGCCTGCACTCACCGATACTGGGACCACAGACGCCATGCACCCCCGACACATGGTACAAGAGGCAATCTCCCCAAACTCACGTGCTCTGCACCTGTCAGGCCTC